CTGGTTTAAGAGCCACTGGCTACAAAGTTGTCAACATGTTACCTCAAATAAGCACCACCCAGAAATGAAAGTGTTACAAAGTGGCTCTTATTTGAGGGTTTTTAAGGTATACCATCAAGATTTCATTAAAATTTGATACACAGGTGCAAATCTGTTGGGACTAATGGCATATTTTTGCTTCTATCTGTCCAGACGTTTTTGTTTATCATATTTATACTTAGTTTTTCTTTAGCCAAAATAAATCAGTGGTCAAACTGTAGAAATGTTCATTTCTTTTGATAAACAAATTCTTCTAGTGCCGCTCGTCTATAAACAAATGAAGATCATTAACATTTTCAAAATGACAGCTATTTTAGCCCATAAAAAGGTTACTACACGGGCAGTACATGTGAATGCTAAATCTGTTGACATCATTTTGAGTTTCAAAATTATTCAGAGTTTAACAGAATTTGATCGTCGCATTTAGGTAATTATATTTTCTCAAATAAAAACCTGAAGCCATATTTTACCATAACATGGTATTTTATGGTCCAATGATTTCCTTTCCCAAGCCATAAAAACCCATATTGTCTGGCAGAATACTTATTCCTTCTGAAACCATAAAGTACCATATTTTGGGGGGTAACATTTTTTTGGACCCCCCAAATTCAAATTCTCAAATAGCATAGTTACTTGATAAACCATGAATTACTCTTTTAGGCAAGTTCACTTTTATCTCTGGTTTCATGATTTATTAACAAAATTCACAGCTGTCATGTTTATCGTAATTAGCATATTTTTGTAACCTTCCTCTAATCGTACAATTTAATTTATGTGTCTGAATTTCATGAAATGAGAAGACAATATTCTATTCTAAATGGAAAACCAAGTTTAATGTCAATTTGATTACTTAAAAGGCAGTACTTGACAATTGAAATTGGTTGAAATTACACAAAAAGTCTTGGCTAGTTAGTGTGAAATGTATGCTGGGAAAATAGGTGTCCATTTTTCACATGGTATTTTATGGCGTCGGTAAGAAGAGGGTTATTTAAAACACTTTGAATTTATACTTTGCATGATTATATTAGGTCAACTCGAAACATTATTTTTTCTAAACATTTTCTGAGACCATTTTTATCAACGCAAGATTATTTTTCCAGACAAGATGGGCTTCGTAATATCTGCCATAACATCGCCCGGTCAATCTTTTGGTCCACATTTTTTTAAAAACAAATGGAATCCTCCATAAGATCGCCCAGGGCGGGGTGTCAGCCGAATCCGGTAGATGAAAGTGCTTGAGAACAAAAAAAAACAATTATGTAAACAATAAACACATGGCTACAAAAATCCAATCAACAGGGCAGAAGACCACCTCATCCGAAGAAACACTGAAATAGCAGAACTCATTGCCGATCTGCTTTTAAACGACAATGACAACGACGAAGATGGTGATTGGTTTGACGGCTTCACTGCCGACGACCTGTCGAACAATTAATAATTTGTGTCTGACGGTACTGCCTAGAAAAATTAAAAAAAGGCAGTGCAGCCAGACGGCTACTTTGTAGCCACGTGTTCATTGTTTGTTTGTGTACGGAGTGAACTTTGCCATTTCAAGTGGTGCATGGTCCTTGACGCAGTGCGTGTTCTCTGCCCGACTATACGCCATGGATGTTGCTAGCCACGAGTCTGGGGTACTAGAACACCGTCCAGTAATCGTGTTCATTGGAAAACAAAACAAATCACTAATAAATGTATGAAAACAGCTCCTTTTTGAATTGTTCTAAAAGTACTCTTTTGATTCGTGCACCAAAAACTAATAATTTCCGTTTTTACGTTATTAATTCGCACACTTGAAAAAATAATTATTTTTACTACCGCGAATTAATCAAGTTTTTACGGTATCTTTTTTAGTATATTTTACATTAAACTTGTCAAAAATCAGTGAAAATAAATTCTATACAAAACTCCCAAAATGTCTTTTCAGCGAAAATTAATTCCAGCTAAAATAAAGTATTTTACAGTATTATTTTCAGTTGACTATTTTGTGTTAGGTGTTAGGGTCTGGCCTGTATACTGACTCTGCTATGTATACTGACATATGAATTCCAGGATCTGTTTGAACCCAAATTGTTGTAGAACCACAACTAGGAATATATATAGAATGTAGTACAATGTCAAATCGATGGCTACATGTAGTACATTGTATATGCACACAAACAATAAAAAAATACACTATTTACTGCATGACATTCCCAATCTCAACTCGTACACTATTTATTGCCGTAAATACAACATACAATCACTGCTGTGATATTCATTGCCACATATACAGTCAAACCTGTGTTAACGGCCACCTGCCTATAGCGGTCACAACGGAACAGTTCCTACGAATTTTACATGTAAAGTAGCCTGTTTATAGCGGCCACCTGCCTAACGTGGCCAACGGCCACGCTTCAGCGGTCGCAGTGATCAGTTGAACTGCATATAACGGACATTGCTCCCGGATGTCTTGCAGACTACTGCCTTCCATCTCAGACAACTAATAAGCTCACAAAGGACAAAGTTAGCATGTTTTCACACCTTTCATTCAACCGATGGCTTCGGCAATTGTGTTTTATTCAGTTTACCACGGCAAGCACACCGTACCGATGGTTATGGAACGCCAAAAACATAATTAAGAATTTGAAAGTGTCTTGATAAAAAAACATGCTGTCATTAATGTTTTGTTGAAATGTGTATACCATGGGAATAACTTACAATTTTGTTCAATGAATGAAATGAGAAACCACAACGATGATTACCAACAAAAAAACATAACAACTCACTTGTTATTTAGTATCGATATTTATTCACTTTGAACTCCTATAAATATCCATAAATACGCATGTAACTGGAACTGATAGCAAAAGGGAAAAAAAATCAACGCAACGGCCATGCCTGTTGTTTATCCATCCAAATAAATTATGCTAATTAGCCTTGCGCATGTGCGTTCTTGTTCTTCTGGGGTTATGATAACTCGGGTCAAAAAGTAGAGTCGCTTCCGTTACTGCCTATCGATCACTGTGAAGGAATGTGTGTGCAGTATCGTCTCGTTGTCCAACTAAATTCATTCAACTATTTTGTTTTCTCGGTTGCTAATGCCTCGGTACATTTAACAATAGATGCTTTTAACAATGATGTTAAATTGACCCCAGTTCACTGGCCAAAGTACCCAGGCATATTT